GATCCAGAGTTGTGAGCTCCTCTTAGTTCATGTCAGCTGTCTCTGTGGGTTTCCAATCATGATTTTATTCACCTGGCTCATCCAATCCCTCCTTCCTCTTGTTAACTAGACTCCCGGAACTTGGTACAGTACTTGGCTGTGAATCTCTGCATTGGCTTCCATCAGTTGCTCGATGAAGGCTTGAAGAGGGGATTCTTAATTAAAACATGTTCAGCATCACATGGTGATAGTGTATCTTCAATAGTCCTTCACTAGTCCTTCCTAATGTCATTTCCGTTTTGTGTATGTATGAACTAAAGCTCATGGAGGTGACCCTAAATTCTTAAAACTTTTCCCTGAGGAGAGCAGCAACATTTGATGGGAGGTCAGTGTTAGGTTCAAAGCCCTTGCTTTTCCTATCATCCCCAATGTCCTGAAACCAAGCACCCTAAGTGGATGAATAGAGAGACTTGCCCTCCAAATTCACAAGGATGCTGTTAATTGTACAGGGAAAACCAGAGACAGTTTCCCAATCCTACTATAGAGGTGTGACATCAAACCAAGGCTGCCATGGCTAGGGGCTCCTGGAGTCTGCAGTTCTAGCACATTGCCAGGGTGACCATAACCAGGGTAACCAGATGAACTGGAACTCACTTGCAATAGTCACCTTTCACCATTCTGGAGCAACTGAGACCGGCTGTGCTTCAGCAAGGTGCTGAGTAACCAAGCCTTCTCCATCCCCGACCATCTTAAAGCCTACCCTTGTCTAACTAAAGCTGGAGGGAAAATCGGCAAGAGAAAGCCACTTGACTAGGTTAGATGCAGTCTGAGCAGGTTTGTGGGAGCACGGCTTTGTTGGCTGGTCTGAGTCAACCTGCAAATATCACTCATGTGAGAAGTATACTGAATGAGTAGAGGAAAAAACCCACCATAGACACAGAGGCTGATACCGCAGCCCAGTTCCCACAGAGGGATTAACCTCGTGTTTAGAGGCTCCGGTTCCAGCTCATGCCCCTGGCACCCACATACCCAGAGAGTCTGGAGTGGTCTGGTGGGAGCTCCACCACAAACTCCTCTTCCATCTCTCTCCAAACTCTGCTGCATCTCAGAAAACCTGCCAAATGATGACCACCCCTTCCACCAGAGATGCTCAAGACCACTCCCACAGAATATTTAAACTGCCCCCCCAAACAGACACATGGTTTTTTAGTCTCTCTTTTCTGTCTCCTCCCTGGGGGACGAGAAAATAATCCGAGAGCATTTTATCCATTAAACTTCGTTTTTTTGTAATTCGGTTTGATTTGGTGTGATTTGGATTGCTATGCTGATGGAGAGGCTTATTGGGGACAGACGCTTTTCATCAGGTCCTCCTAAGGTCCCTCTCTTTGAGTTGCAGATGGTCCTCTCCCTGCTCCCATACTTAGTGTCTCTCTTCTTTAAAGAATATTAGAAATACTAGCCCAGGGCCTACCTTTAACCTCATTTACTAATAGTTACTTCTTCAAGGCTTTATCTCCAAACACACATTGGGTATGAGGGCTTTAGGGTACTAATTTCAGGAGGCAATGGTTCAGGCTATTCAGAAAGGAAAGGGCAATTACAGAGGAATTTTCATTGCAAATGTGTTTTAATGGAAAACTTATGAAGTCAATTTGCAGAGGGATGCTATCTAGGAATACAACATAGAACAGTGATTTTTTTATATTTATTTGTGTGTGATGGGGAGGACATCTATGTTATAATTTAGTGTGGAAGTCAGAAGTCAACTTGTGGAAGTCGGTTCTCTCCTGTCATCAATACTGGTTCCTCACCTTGAGCTCAGGTCACCAGGCTAAGCAGTAAGTTCTTTTTCTTCCATTTACCAGAAATTCCCACGCTTCCACATGTACAGTGGGGATTTCTAAAAATGCCGGCGTCTGGGTCTCAATTCAAAATGGCAAGGACCTTCAGCACTGAAGTTTGGTTTCCCCAGAGACTAGAACAAAATCATTTCCCCTTCTCCTCTGCTGCCTGAATATATGAATGAACAGACTGAAGAAGCATTTTAAACAATTTGGTATCATGATTGTGGAGTTTGTAAGGACCCAAATTTGTGGACAGTCTAGCAGGCTGGAAGCCTAATGTTGCATCTTGGTTCTGTAGGCCAATGAGAGGCAGAAGTCCTTTATCTTGAGGAAAAGGCAAGGCTTTCCATTGGCTGAGTAAGACTTGGATACATGACAATGATAAGACAGCAATCCCTAAAGTTTATTGACTGCCAGGTAAACACCTCACCTAAAAACACCAAAATATCCAGACTGATATTTGACCAAATGCCTGGATGTGATCTATTAGCCAGGTAGACTCATAAGATTAACTATTATAGCTATTACTCTTCAGTAATATTTCTCAGGGCTCAGGATGACACATTTAGTAACAGTCTTCAGAGCCAAGACTTTCTTACAGTAGAGGTCAGGGAGAGTAGGCGTTGTGCAAGCATTGAATAGAATTCATATTCTTTCTCCACCACTTGTGCTTCCCCCTCAGTCCTTTGCTTCCGGTTTCCTCGGTTACACACCCTCATTTCCTGAGAAGCTTTAAAGTCAACTTTGCTTGGGTCCACCCATCAGGGATGCTGCTTTACTTGGTAGGATGTGATCAAAATCACCCTATGAAAGGCAGGCTGGGCATCAAAGGGTTCTCAGATCTTTTCCCAGGGCAGCCACATTGAGAATTCAAGTTGAGAACTCAAGTAAGTTCCTTAGTAAGTCTAGAAGGTGACAATGACTCTACGGGTTTAAAAGATTTGCTAGGCAGCTAGGATGCTACTTCCTGGACTGCACGTCTAACATCTTTGCACTTAATTATTCACACCACGCTAGAATGCTTGTCCTCCTTCCAAAGTAGGAATGGCAGCCTCGACTTCCACCACTACTACTATCGCCCCAAAGTCACTTCTGCAGGGTGCCAGGTAGCGTTGGCACATTGGATCCTCATCTGTACCTTCTGGAATAGGTTGCGAGGACGAGGCTCCATTTCACAGTAAGAAAACTAAAACATGAAAGCCCATCTCAGTTCACACAGATGCTAAATAATGGATGGAATATCCAATCTCTTGAGTGGGGTGTTACCCGTTCATCGGTACCTTTAAAGATTATCTATCTACTTTTGACCCAGTGTCTGTGTCTGTATTGGTTTTGTTTCTCAACTCTTTGGATAGGCAAGCTTCCTTAGAGTCGCTTATGGTTCCTCTGCACCAGCAGCCTGCATCCTGCAATTCTCATGCCTTACCCAGCCATCAGCACGGCCTCTGCTTCTAAGGTGCCTTCTTTGTCTCATGACAAACCATCCAAAGCCAGATCTCCTACTCCAGGTTCCCAAGCTTTCCCACTGTGAACCCATCAAAGCTTGGTCACCTTTCCTTTCTCTCCCAGGCCCCTGCTCCATGCCCAGGCACCTTGTGACGATCTGGTTCACTCTATGCAATATCTACTGTACCTTATATATTTGTCTACTTGATCCACTGTATTCTCCCAACATGGTTGATAACTTATTAAGGGATACTTTATTTTAAAACACCTCTTCCACCTGTGTCTATGGCAGGGTTTCATACATGGTGGAAATGCAGTTCATTAATTCAGCAAATGCTCTTTGATCAGAGTTGTTTTTTTTTTAGCCAGGGTAATTAAGGTCGTTAACAGAAAAGATATAACTTGTGCCTGAGGTTCTCAAGTTTCCTCTTAAGAGCTCATCACTCAACTGGATTATATAGAGGAAGACAGAAAACGACCGTTCTGCTCTGGGTTCAATGAAGCTGTAATCTTAGCACTAGGGAGGCTGAGGCAGCAGGACTGTGAGTCTGAAGTCAATCTGGGCTACACTGTCTTGACAGCATAACAGACAGCTGGAGAGATGTATCTCAGGGGTGAGGAGCCTGTACTGATCTTGTATAGGATGCTGGTATGATCCCAGCAGTCACGTGTTCAGTTTACAGTGTTCTGTGACTCCGGTTCTAAGAGCATCTGATGCCTCTGGACTCTTAGAGTAATACACTCACATGCATATACTCAGCATTAAGTTCAGTGCTGTATTCCATATGACCTCTTTACAGGATATGTCGACATTAGGAGACACCAGGATGCCCTCTGAATCGATGTCTGTGCTTGAAGTCTGTCTGGACTGTGAGCAGTCTCTGTTTCGGGGCGGCCTCCTCTTCTTTTGTTCCAGAATCTCAGCCTAGCACCCTACAGATGCTACGTGATGAGAGAATGAGAAAATATGCTTGAAAGAAATTCAGCTCGTGTTATAGAAGTACTCAGGCTTCTATTCAGAGGCTCGTTTTCAAATGTATTTAGCACTTAAAAGCCCTTTGGTCCCTCAGACTTGAGAAAATGAATATATTCCAGAGATGCAGACTCATCTATCCCAAGTCCTGGCAAAATGCCTTCCAAAGGTTTCCTTGTGCCTAACTGTCACTCAGAATATGTCTTTTTGCCTTTGCTTCTGGCCTGGGGGACCCCCCCCCCATATTCTTTCGCTTTCTTCCCTATGACAGTCCAGCACCCTTGTTGGCCAGTTCCCTGTGGCCCTCTCAGAGAGTTCTGCATATGTTCAGCTTAGTGGGACGATGCAGGAAGGCTTGGAGAATGCTGCACTGGAAGGAACTTTCAGGACATAGGTTTCAACTTTGCCATTTGAAATGGAAGCAAATGAGACCCTGAAGGGAAGGGCTATTTTAAGTCAATGCAATGATTTAGAATCCAGGCCTGCTGTTTCCCGACTAATGTCTTCTTCATATTCCATGTACACTCTTCCAAGCTTAATATCAAGACCTGTTTTAAAGCTCTTTTGCTAAGTATCTTAGCTAGGCTGTTCCAGCACCAGCTCATTTATAGCTACAAAGTCCTTAACAGTCCAGCAAAAGGCATCCCGGTTCCCAGAATGTGCTCCAGACTTCACAGTGAACCGGTCCCTCTTATTCCTTTAGGACTTATCATTAATCCTCTCATCATCTTAACTTTTATTGTTCTCTTCTTCCTCAGGCACAAATGAGCTCAAGCGTTGAATTGCTTCATCATCCTGGATACTAAAAGTTTGATTTCAGAAGTTCTCAAGGCGTGCCCATTTCCAACTTCTGGCAGCATCTGCAGCAGACATGCTTGGGGGCCATTCATTCCCTCCTCGTTCATTTCCCAACTCTACTTCCAGCAACATTTAATTAAGATTTCTGGAGCAGACTCCAGGCGAGATGCTTTATGTGTATGACATCATTTCCTCCTGACAGTAATTCAGTATGCACGACAATATCATGCCCATTTTCCAAGTGAAAAAAACTGAGGTTGAAAAAGGTAAAACTCTTGGCCAAGTATGTAGCAAAGAAGTGATGGAGTCCAGATGTGATCAAAGGTTGCGTCCTAATTCCAGGACTTCAGGCCACCTTGTCACTTAGATTGGTCGGGAGTTCTACTTGATCATAAAATTTGGTGAAACGGTTGTTTTGTCCCATTTTTTTTTTCCTGGCAATATTGTGTGGCGACATAGTGTCTGCTAGCATTATGCATTTAGTGACATCTTAGGACAGCTCCTATGTCCTGTGCATAACTCAGACACCAGCTGTTAAAGTGCTTCCTTTCAAATGAGGATCATGGGGACGGGCAAGTGACTCGTTCCCTCCTTCTAAATCCAAGACACAAAGGACTCTGACTGTGGCAGGACCTTCCTCTTCTCCAAGTCTGATCGGGGAGGTTGACATCACTGAGCACAACGCTGCATGTGGCTCTAGAGTCCTGAAGGAGTGGACAGCTTGTGGGGTCAGAAGAGCAGGAGGATGGTGGTTAGAGGGCAAGGAGGCAGGAGCACCATGCCTGGAGATGAGGTTCAGGCGAGTGACATGGGAGCCCCAGATGAGTAACCTTCTGCTCAGGTAATGAGAACCCAAAGAGATGTAAACTTATTGCAGAAAACACTGGGGAAGAATTCATCATTAATGTGGCTATTTTGGGAGAGGAAAGAGCCTGGGAAGAGGAGGGACACACAAAACATGTTCCAGCTGAGGGAGCCTGATAGGAGAATGAGTATCTCCCTTCCTAACTCAGCAGTGAGATTCGAAAGCATCCTTAGCTTTCCGGTCTCAGGATGGGTAGGGCCAGGTTCTGGGTGCGGATATCACCAGCCCTTTACTCCCTGGATGTTCTGCACTGATTCACAGCTCTATTTCATTGTTGCTAAGAGAAAGTAGATTTTATGTGTGGCCTTCGGAGCTGAGAGTGGCAATTCCCGCAGTCCCCTCATCCCCTGCCACCCAGATGTACCAGGACAGCCACAGCTGTTAGATGTTGACTGTTCCCCCACAGTCTGATGAGGGCGCACATCCCTTCCCATCCCTAGCAGAGGACTCTGAGCAGAGCAGCAATCCGCTGATGGGGAGTTGGGGCATAGGAGAGAATTTACTGTCTTTGATGAGATGTGTCAACTGTGGATGTTCTTGGCTGCTCTGCTCACTTGGAGGTGCTCCCTGGAGCTTCCAACCTCTATCTGAAGGCATCGACCCACTCTTACCCATCAGGTAGAAAAGAGGCACTCACCCCAGACTCTCCCTGCTGGGGTTTCTGCCTTTTCCTCTGCCTGCTCCACCTTTCTGACTTCGGATATCAACTGTGTAGTTTGTCAAATTTTTCTTCCCAGGGTCTTAGGTCACTGTTGTCTTGTGGTCTTAGATCACTGCTGTCCTGTCTGTGTCCCACGGTCTTAAGTCACTGTTATCCTGTCTGTGTCCCATGGTCTTAGGTCACTGTTGTCCTATCTGTGTCCCACGGTCTTAGGTCACTGTTGTCCTGTCTATATATCATGGTCTTAGGTGACTGTTGCCCTGTCTATGTCCCACACCCTTCATTTCACTGCTCTGTTGATGATTTGCTTATGTAAATACTTGCCCATCAGTTAAACTTTCTTCTTATTTAAGGATAAACCTTCTAGGCTGGGGAAATGTTCAGTGGTTAAGAGCTCTCGCAGGGGACCTGAGTTCGGTTCTCAGCACCCTGTACATTTCACACTGGTCAGTTCACATTGTCTGTAACTCCAGCTTCAGAGAATCCAACACCTTCATTTGACTTCCATGTGTACGTACCAATATACATAGACATCCATAAGGCCTCACATCTTGGCATCTTCTCATAGGAAACAATTCACCATCTCTTTCTAAATGTTCTCAGACTCCTTTGGGAAGCTTACAAGCTTACATGTTCACCCTGCAGACCATCTTACCAATGGCAACATGTCTCTAGTTATGTCCTCCTTGGGCCTAGAAAATAACAATGACCCCTTGCTAGTCTAAAACAATATAAAACAAAGGCTCCCAAAGGACACTAATGGACAGCAGTCTATTGTGAGATTCAAAGCCATTTCTTTCTGTTATTTGTGAAAATTTATCAGTTCCTCTAACACGCTGGACCTCAGTTGATTCTGCACTGGCTGCAGTGATGAACAGATCAGACGTGTGTGTGGCCTTTGTGGTATGAGGCTGTCTATGAGGGAAGACATGAAGAAATCTACCCATGAGGATCATTTGGAAGAAAAGTGAAGGGTGTTAAAGAAATCCAAACGGGGAAGTGGGTGTCGCCTTAGTTTTGGATTGTCTGTTAATGATTTAGGAGCGCCCAGCCCACTGTGAGTGACACTATTCCTTAGGAAGGAATTTCTAGATTATGTAAAACAAGAGAGAAAGTTAGAAAACGTACAGAAGGGTGCATTCTTCTTTCTCTACCATTGATAGTGATGTTGTGTGACTAGCTACTGTTGAGTTCTTGCTTCAACTCCCCCCCCCCATGATGGTCTGTGACCTGGACTAGTAGTTTAGCAGGCCCTTCCCATCCCTTAGTTTGTTTTGATCAGAATGCTCTATCACAGCAGCAGAACCCTTTTGGTTAATAGAATCAAGGGAAGTACTGCACTGCCAATAGTCTTGCCAGTTATGAGTTCCAGACTCAGCATTCCAGAACACGCTGTGTTCTTTCTTCACAACTGCTGCCCCCAGAAAAAGAAAGGCGGTGCATTCCACTGCAGAAAGCTTGGCCATATCACGGACGACCCGGTTATCTCTCTGAGGACATCCGAGCCAGAGCCCTAGCTAGTCAGCTTCTGTCATTTGGGTCCGGCAAGATCATCAGAGCTGTTTCTTGACCCATAGCTGAGTGCAGATAATGTTATTAAGTCTAGATACCAATGGCATAAAAGAATAATCACCCTATTAACAATATTAATTAAACTATAAAGCTTGGGGCATCTTGTTTTGCTTCTGGAGAGAAGAATATTAACTAAGGGTGTTAAGAGTATGGTGGCAAGGTCAAGTCCAGTATGATTTTTCAGGTGTGATGTGGATTAGGAACTCTATCCTAAGGAGTATGAGATGTGACTGACGTGTTCTATGTGTGCAATGACACATTCAGGCTGGTGTTGCAGGCAGACAAACTTGGCTTTTCCCTGGAGAGTGAGTGGTGAGGGCAGAGAGGTTCAGAACAAGCCACAGGAGGCCTTCATAGTCAGGTTTTGTTTTCTTTTAGAGGTGCACATTGACCTTCAACTATGCATTTGGTACGAGATGATAAAGATGGCTTGTGTCTTGTCAGCAAACCAACAGGGAACTGAAAGGGCTGAAGTCTGAGCATCACCACAGTGGTATATTCAGGAGGTCCTAATAGTGTAGAGATGGTTATAACCTCAGGGGGGTAGAAATGAGGAAGAAGTAGGGTAGGGTGGGAGGATTCTGTTCACTTGATAGATAAGGGTTGCCACGACAGAAGGGAACATGGCATGGGATGCTGACAAAATGCAAAACATGAAGTGCAGGTCAGAAAGAAAGATGGGAGAGCAGGTGAGAAGGGGCCAGGTCATAAAGGATCTGACTGGTACAACACACAGGCCAAAATCCAGCAGCGAAGGAATCCCAGAGGTCCCCAATGCCTGGTGGGGGTGAATTTGCGATTGAAAGATGAGAAGCTGAGAAGGGCAGAGACTAACCTTGGAAGCCTATGTGATTTGTACCACCATGGCTGTCTGGCTTTCTGCTATGGAGAAAGCTGAGAGGCAGGACAAAGAAATCACTAGTATCCAGAAATCTCTGACTTAAAGGAGCCCAGCCCTCAGCTATTCCTGACAGTCTTCAGGGAGACGGGAGCGAACGAGACAAGAAGAGAACACTTTTGTCACAGTATGTCCTCCACCCTGGAGTGTTTGATATCCCCTGCTGCCAGTCTCCAGCTGTCTGTCTAGACGGAGCACAGATTGGACCTGTGAGAGGTACTGAACACTGTGATCCAGGCCCACTCATTCCTGGCTGGCAGCAGAGTGAGCATTCAAGAACAGAATCCAGGCTAGAGAATGGGGTGGGGGACTCCTTTTCCTGAGAGTCTTCAGATCTTCACCAGAAACTAAGAACTAGGATGGAGAGGAGGACAGAGGGCCTCTTATTCCTGTACTCGTGAAGTTCACAGATTTTTACCATACACGTGGAGATCTCTGTCCACTGCACTGCCTCATCTACAAATGTCAACTGAACCAGGGAACTTAGAAGAGTCCTGTGTCTCATACCAGAAATGACCACTTCTCAGACTCACACACACACACACACACACACACACACACCACAAACACATACACACATACAGGATCTGCACAGGTATAGGTTCTTAGGAAATTGCAAAATCTCCACAAATAGTAAGTTTTCAAAGGGCAAATAACTACATGAGTGAGAAATAAATACCTATCCTTCCTCTCAGCATTCCCTTTTTCTCATGTGGCAATTTAAGGGAGAGAGTCTACCTTGATAACTGAGGTAGCTTGGCTCTGATCACATGCCTTTGGGTAAGGTGGACCAAGGATCAGAGCTCAGAACTACTTATCTCTGAATCACATACACACACACACACACACACACACACACACACACACACCAGAGAGAGAGAGAGAGAGAGAGAGAGAGAGAGAGAGAGAGAGAGAGAGA